TTACATCGTGTTGTGCTAAATGTAGGTTGTTTTTGCGGTTTCTATTCTCACACGGAGCCCTTTCTGAAGATAAGTACCCGAACTGGGCCTGTAATTTGTACACAACAACCCACATTTCGTCAGTGTTTGAGCTCGATATGCACTCATACCTAGGAGGATAGTGTTGCGGTGGAAGTGCGACCAGTCTGTCTTGTCACTGAAGAGCCTGGGGTCTACTATGCCGCAGAGGGTGATGTGGCGCGTCGCGCTTATCTGCTGCAGTCCTTACATGCCCTCCACCAGAAGGACTCCTGAACTTTGCCAGACTGCATATCCTACTAAACCCTAAACCCGAAACACCAAACCCGAAAAACTAAACCGGCGGCAAAACCCTAATCCTTGGCTGCCTTGTGCGAGTGTGAGAGCCGAGCCACTAAAACCCTAAACCCTAAACCCTAAAAACCCTAAACCCGACAAACCCTAAACCCAAGAAACTCTAAACCCTTAAACCCTACTGTGCGCCAGGGGCATCATGTCGGCGGAAAGGCGTCGGCAGCTCTTTGAAAGCGCCGACGAGCCAAGCCCTTAGTCCCTAAACGAACCCCAAACTCACCCTTAACCCTAAAACCCTAAAACCCTAAAACCCTGAACCCTTAAAGCCCTAAACCCTAGGCCTATAAACCCTAAAATAGCATTCAAACCCGGGCTCATCCTGGTGTGGGTCCTCGTGGGGACAGGCTATATGCCGTTGGAAGATAGAGCCGAAATTGGGAAATTGAGGGCCCCCCAGGCCACTAGGGAGCTAAGGCGGGGCCGTATATGAGAAAGCTGATGGAAGTGTCGGATTGCTGCCGCCGGGTGGCGCAGTCATTGCAATCTCAAGGCTTTGTTCCTTGAAACCCTGCCAAGTGAATAAGTGATTGGCCAAACAAGTAGGGTCGGCTCTTTCCTTTGTGTGCGTGTGCCCGAGGCCACTGCAGTCCTGAAGGCTTCGTACTCCCCAGCCACAACCCTTAAACCCTAGCATTACATTAATAGGCCGCAAAACCCTGAGCCCCAAGTTCTTAAACCTCAAACCCTTAACCCTAGACAATAGACCCTAGAGAAAAAACCCTAAACCCTAAACTCTAAACCCTGAACGCTGAACCCTGAACCCTGAACCCTGAACCCTGAACCCTGAACCCTGAACCCTGACCCCCTAAACCCTAACCCCCTAAACCTTAACCCCCTAAACCCTAACCCCCTAAACCCTAACCCCCTAAACCCTAACCCCCTAAACCCTGACCCCTAAACCTAAACCCTGCAGACCCTATGCCAGAAGGTCGCCCTCGCCGCCCCGACGGCCTCCTCGACGCAGTCGGAGTGCCTCGAGGGGTTCCCGGTCGCCTCCCCGGCGGAGGCGGCTTGGGGATCAAGGGACTGAAGGAGGGACCCCTCATTAAGGGGAAGAAGACTGAGGGGTCCATTCTAGGGGTTCCCTCCTTAGAGCCTTTTGAGGGGATGTTTTCTATGAGATGCAGCTTGGGGATGTTGTGTCCAGAGCCTTGGGCTAGCAATGGGGAGTTGAGCAAGCAGGGAGTATCGATATTGAGGGCTCTTTTGTTGATGGGAGTCCTTGTTTCTACAATTGAAGCATTCAAGCCCTAAACCCTAAACCCTAAACCCTAAACCCTAAACCCTGCACCCTAAACCCTAAACCCGAAGCCCTAAACCCTAAACCCTAAACCCTAAACTTCAGCCCTCGGTCATCCCTGCGAGGTCGGCGAACTTTAGCTCGGATCCTGCAAACTCAGGCTGCACCGGTGCGCGGAGATGCATGGGGCGCCCTTGAAGGGGTTGGTTTTTTAAGAGTGCTTGGTAGTATATTCATAAGTAGGGGGTCATACGTCAGAAGCGCCCCGCAAGAGGGTTACGTGCAGTTATCCACTGTAGTTCTCCCTATGGCAGAACCCCAGTTATAGCCTCCCTTGAACCTCCAAGTAGGGCATGTCCAGATTCTGTCGGACTGTCGAGGGTCAGAAGGATGTGAGCACTCCGGAAAAAGTATAAACCTCCCTCAGCTGCCAGGCTGCCACCAAAAACCTGGCCCATTGCTTTCAAGTTCCGCTTGTTAGAAGCGACAGCTCTTCCGAACCCTAAGCCGAAAAAGCGTCAAACAGAGCCTTCAAGCTCTTCAAGACAGGCTTCTCAGAGCCCCCCGTCGATCCTGGAGCGATGGGAGACTACAGGGGGCCTCTTGAAGGCGCCACGGCGAAGCAATGTAGGGGGTCGGAATGATTACTAGAATTATTCTCTTCGGGTCGCCTTTGTAATTGTACTAGAAGAACCCCCCAAAACCCTATTCTAGCTATTAAGGCCCCTATAATACTTGGGCTAGGAGATGGTTGAGGCATGTTTGGTGTTTAGGGTTCATTGGTTCGGACAAGCCTGTGGCAAAGGGGTTTGAGGGGTTCGGTTTAGGCTTGTGTTTCGCAGCTTCAGGCAGCAACTTTGTGATGGATGGTTTTGGGTGGCTGTGTGGAGGTGCTCCTGGCGACCCCCCATATACTCCGATGTGAGGGCTTCCATGAGCTCAATGAACGCGGTATAAGACCAAGGGACAGCAAGTGCAGCATAAAATAGTTATAGCTCATCATGCTGCATTCTTTACATCCTACAAGCCATATCTTGCAAATTCTGCTTCATGACAGCTACAGCCTGCGCAGAAGTTTTGAATTGACCTGACTTGTGCAAGCAGAGCCATGAGCCTCAGCCGCCCGAAAAAGAAGCCGGACGCGCCCTGTAAGGATGAGCTTTTGCGAGGCTTTGCCTTAAACGAGGGGCATATTTCACATTTCATACGTATGCAAGACTCGGAAGTATGATCTCTCACTGTCTTTGCGGAATATGCCCATAGGCGTCCTGCGCCTCCGCGGCCCCCAGGGATTCCTTCATGAATGTACCGTGTGAGGGTATGCAGTGAGGGTGAACAAGTGAGTGATTCCAAAGAGCTGAGAGGCAGCTAGCACGAGTCTTAGTTATGATATTGGATCACTGGGTCTTTGGATCCAGACCAGGCATTAACTGGGTCTCAAGGTGTGATGGCTGATGCGGTTGGACTCGTCTCTCAGATGCCTATCTCAAGACAACAGCCATTCACAGGATCGGGAGATGGGTTCTTGGTGGTGAGACAAGGGGGGGTGTTGTCAGGATCTGTGAGGCAGGTCGATACCGAATCATCATCCACCAGTGCCACGGGAGTTTGGCGACCAACAAATGACGACAGAGTTGCATGTCCACGTCCCCAGTTGCTCAACGTGGCTCTGCAGGTGCTTGCCAAGTTTGGCTATAGAAGGCGCACAGGAAATCTCGTACTAGTCTATCAGATGTCTTTAGGATCAAATGTCCTGCTTCAGGGTAGGGAGCCCTTTTGAGACTGTATCGCTACAGCACAGAAACATAGAGGTAGTTAAATCCATGGTTCTTACTTTCGACAGCAGCATCACCCTAACTTACAAAGGCAAGCTGTTGGTTTCCACAATGCCGTGCGCGGTCTCCACGCGACACTCGCCAGTGCTCCAGTGGCATTGGCGGAAGTGCGGCACTTCGTGTGCTCGGCCCAGAATGGGCTCCAATGTGTCTTGGCATGGCACCATTGTCGTATGCCATAATTCTGCGGTCGTTGTTTTTGCAAGTCCCACCATACCCCACCATCATTAACCGGCATTGTTGACTGGCACCATTACCCACCACTACTCACCATCCTACTATCCACCATGACCCACCCATCATGCCCGCCATGCAACACCATCACCCATCGCCACCATTCCCACCATTACCGACCATGATCTTGATGATGACGATGATGATGCCGATGATCATACCATGTTTTGGCATCATGGTACGGCACCCGGCTGATCTTGCAGACAAAATGGGCCGAAGTCCTGCTTGACATTGATTGATTATTTGCTCGAAGTAGCAGAAATATGTCATTGGCGATGGTAAACCACCTCGTTTAGGAATGGTTTATTGCTGTCATCGTGAGAGTGTTATCATCATGGGTTGGCTAGCGGCTGCGTCTTGAGGCATGATCTGGTCGATCGCCAGCCAGCTACGCCGCGCGGCAGCATCGGGCTCGGAACCTCGCCGGTGCTGCTTCTCATCAAAACAACACTTGACACTTGGCACCCTTGCTTGTCATCAAAGCTGAGGCATTTCATCATCATAGACTTCATCTTCTACCCATTTGCTGTAAGATGTTAGGGTTTAGGGTTTAGGGTTTAGGGTTTGTTGGACGTGTAGCTGCCTTAGATCCTGCACCTGGTCACGACCGCCCAGCTGTGGTCCAAGCAGAGGAGCGGGCAAAGACCTGCTCCGTGGTTTGGGGTGATGCCATCGCTCCAGGGGCAAATCGACATGAAAAAGCAGGACCAGTTGCTGGTTTAACCGAGAGTAGTTACAGTACTTACTCATAGTGCGAACATAGAAGGTGAATCACAAACGACAAGAACCAACGATGCTGTGTTTTATAGCCTGATAGCAACTCACTAGTCGTTTTTTGGTGTAACCACAAATCAAGGGAAAGAATCAATAACGACATCTACTTGTTGGTGTCTTTGAGCAACATATTTTCATTTACCCCAGTGATTGGCACAATCATCGTCGTTGCTTAAACTTGTCAAGAAGGTTGACAGATGTGGGGGCGTACGAAAATAGGGGACGCCCCAATATAGATCCCCAAATAGTACGATCCCTTTATAATCAGGACTCCAATAAGGTACCCCTAAATTTTGGAGACCCCCACATGTTGACACCACCAACTCCTGAGGAGTTCGAGACCCTCAGAGAGGCAAGGCGGGTGCGGTGCGAGGGGGTTCTGCCGAGCGAGGCAATTACGTTACATACATACGCAATTGTGTAAAGGGTTGTGACCGTGGAAGCCCCATCCCTAGTTGCTGGGCAACTGCTGCTCTTTTGGGTCACTTATTGCTTTCACCATGAAGTAAGCTCGATGTGGCGTCGGTCATGATTCGGGCCAGGAAATGGAGCAGGAAATTGGCACATCCCTTGCAAGGCACGCCAGCGACATGGAGGACGCGGTGGGCAGGATAGACATGTCAGACTTGGCGGAGGTCAAACGCTTGGCCAAAATGTCAGATGAGATGTGTCAAGTCCTGAACACTGTGGTCTGGCTGCTTTTTGATTTGCGGCCACTGGCCAGAGACACATGGAAAATCAAACTCTTTGAGCCCGACCTCTTGAAGAAACTTCAAGGGTTCCATTGGGATGACGTCACTGAGGAGATGATGCAGACGTTGGATGAACACTTTGCGAATCCAGCGGTCAGTGTGGAAAACATGGAGTCGTTTCGTGGGCCCGCCATGGTGAAGCACCTATCCAAGTGGCTGTGGGCCACCCGAGGTTGTGGGAAAACAGCTGTAAGTTTGAAACCAAAAAAGGAACAGCTGTGCGTGCTGCAGCTTGAGCTGGAGAATTTGCACAGAGAGCTGGCTTTGATCAGCTGACCAGTCGCTTGCACGCCACGAGCGCTGTGAGAAACGGGCCGAAGAAGTGCCGGATATGACTTGATCATCCGCTTGGCCTGACTCTAGGAGCACGCACCCTAAACCCAAGCATGTCCAGCAAGACCTTCACACCCCAACCCCTGCGATTCTTGGCGCCGCAGCTTTTGTTCGGTACTGCTACAAGCGCAGTGTTTCAAGCAGTCGTCAACCGCACGAGCTTGCTGGAGTGATGGGGGTGTTCGGTCGTGCTGCAGTTGCTGCAGCGGTATGGGCCTTGGCCAGAGCGAGTGAGCTGGAGCAAGATGCCACTGCAGCTGCCTGCTCGCAGGAGCCTGATGCATCACTGGGCTTGCTGCAGCATAAAGTGAACAAAGCGAACGTGTCTTACGAAGATGGTGGCAGCTGCTGTGAGCACTGCCGGGGCTATGGAGGCCACCCAAATGGGAAGTGGATCCTTCGTGCAGTCCCCCGTCCTGAGACTGGCATGCAGGGAGTTGGCAACTGCTGCTGGGATGGCATGCACGCCACCTTGATGACATGTGGGAACAACAAGCCCCGCCACACCGGAGTGTCTCATACGTCAGCGTGCCGGTTGCTTCCCAAGTTCAAGGAGGGCTTTTACAAAGATGGCGGTGATGAGCACCAGGATCTCTACAGCAGCAATGGATGCGCAAAGTACTCTGCTTTCATCGTGAAGAATTGGAAGGACTGCATTGGATCAAGCTGGAGTGAGTTTGAGGCGCCCGAAGGTTGTACGAAGAAGAATGGCCATCATGTGACCCTGGACGGCGACTTCGACGGAGAGCTGCCGGAAACCTGGAATCTCGAATGGTACCACGGCGATGCTTAGATCTAGCGTAGGTGGTAATTAGACTGATAAAGTTTTCCGGCCTCAAGTGGCCGCCTCAACATTTCAGAGCCACCCTCCATGTACCGGTCTGAGTGCGGTTGAGTATGGTATCAGTACGGAAGAATAATTCACGCCCATTATGATATCTTTATTATTGTTCTCTTCACTCATGCACTCGCTCAATGAATTTATGAGCGGGACCGAAATACACCAATTCACATGATGAATGTAATGAATGTGTTCACAGACAATTTGCCCCTTTAATATTTTATTGTATTCATACGCCACGAGGGAAAAGATAGGCGACTATATGAATTATATTATGGTAAGCTCACTGAAATTGTAAGACAAAAATATCTATTTTCAAAAATTTCTGGAGATATAGAAGATAAATGATTTCTGGAGATCTTTGAAAATAGGGAGATGGGAACATCTAAGAAGCAAATAAATGAACGAATCACACAACTCTATTTTGCAGGGGTGATGGTGGG